AGCGCAAGGGCCTGAGTTCAATCCCTGGCTTTGCAAAACAAAAACAAAAACAAAAAAACCAAGGGGCCGGGGAGATGGCTCAGTGGAATAAGTGCTTCCCTGGCAAATGCAAGGCCATGAGTTCAATCCCTGGTTCCACAAAAAAAATAAGATAAGTCAGGTGGACTCAGTTGAGATGATCCCAGTTTTGTTGGCAACATCCAATGCATCATAATCAGGAGCCAGTCGAACATATGCCTTCTTCTCTCCATCAGGCCTGATTAGGGTACCGACCTTGGCAACGTCGATGTTACAGAGCTTCTTTACAGCTTGTTTGATTTGGTGCTTATTGGCTTTGACATCCACAATGAACACGAGTGTGTTGTTGTCCTCGATTTTTTTCATGGCGGACTCTGTGGTCAGGGGGAACTTGATGATGGCATAGTGGTCAGGCTTATTTCTCCTGGGGGCGCTCTTCCGAGGGTATTTGGGCTGCCTCTGGAGCCGGAGTATCTTGAGACAGCAGAAGTGGGTGACGTTCGTATCTTCTTTTTGTGGCCGTGGATGCCTTTTAGTACGGCCTTCTTGACCTTCAAAGCTTTTGCTTTGGCTTCAGCTTTGGGAGGGGCAGGAGCTTCCTTCTTTGCCTTTGGCATCATCTTGGTTAAAAAGGCTCTCTCAGCATCCATGACCTTCTTAACAAGGGCCATGATATTCAGAGGGTGTGTTTTGACTCACTACAGTGTCCAGCATTTCTATCTGTCTGTACTTCATGGGCACTATTTCTACGTGGAAAGTCACCCCAAACTTTGTTGTGTAAACTGTCAGCAGTCCCTATAGTTTGCTTGTACATCTGTGCACAGGAAGGGACAGCAGGGACACTTTGGCTCTGCTTTCTGACCTCGGGTCAGAGCTGCAGGATGCAGGTTTGGGGACGTGGTACCAGTTCACAGGTGGAACGCATCTTGTGGCCTCTGGGCTGTCTGTGAGGTGCTTGCCAGAGCTCCCCTCTTGGCCTCCCCTCCTCTGCTGCTCCTTGCCTTGCCTGAGTTCTGGAGCAGCAGCTTGTATGTCTGATTTCACTTAAGTATTGTCTCAAGGTGACACAGTTATTTGTCAAAATTTTGTTCCTACCATTGCAACTTTTTGCCTTTATTTTGTTACATTTAATGGTTTTGAAGTAGCCAAAGGTGACATTCTGTGGTAGTTATGAGTGATTTTAAGCTAGCTAAGTGATTACTCTTCCCACCTCAATGGGGATTGATCCCAGAGCCTTCGCTCAGCTACATCCTCAGTCCTGTTTTAAGTTTTTTTTTTTTCCCAGACAGGGTGTCCCTAAGTTGCTAAATTGTCCAGGTTGAGCCCAAATTTGTAATCTTCCTGCCTCAGTGTCCCTGAGTGCTGAGATTATTGGCATGTACAACCATATCCAGTTTAATTTTTTGAATATTGTATTTTACTGTCTGTTTCAGTAGGTAAAAAGTATTTCCTTGCATATCAATAAGCAGTTAACATTAGTTTAAATAGTGTAATGAAAAGCAACTCATGGGAGCAGACAAAATTAGTTATTAGTTATTTTTACACTTTAAAAATCCTAACCTCGGCCTCCAGACTTCACTGGGTCCAGCAGCTGCCCGACCAAGGGCCTGGGGCCACGGGCTCAGCCGATGACCATGGGCTCGGTGCCCAACCAGAAGTTTGCAGGTGGCTGCACCAAGGCAGTGGAGAAGGTGCCCAAGGAGGCGCCAGCGGATGCAGCCTGGGTGGCAGACGAGCCGCAGCTGCTGCACTGTGCTGGCATCTGTAAGTGGTTCAGCGTGCGCCTGGGGTTTGTCTTCCTGTCCATGACCACCTATGCCGGGGTTGTGCTCGACCCCTGGTGGACGTCTTTGTGCACCAGAGTAAGCTGCACATGGAGGGATTCTGGAGGCTGAAGGAGGGTGAGGCTGTGGAGTTCACCTTTAAAAAGTCTGCCAAGGGCTTGGAATCTATCTGAGTCACTGGTCCTGGTGGGGTGCTCTGTATTGGGAGTGAGAGGCGGCCCAAGGGGAAGAACATGCAGAAGCGCAGATCCAAAGGAGACAGGTGCTACAACTGTGGTGGTCTAGACCATCATGCCAAGGAATGCAAGCTGCCACCCCAGCCTAAGAAAGGCCACTTCTGCCAAAGCGTTAACCACATGGTGGCCTCATCTACTGAAAGCCCAGCAGGCTCCCAGCTCCCAGGGAAAGCCAGCTTACTTCAGGAGGAGGAAGAAGAGATCAACAGCCCTGCCCTGCTTCCAGAGACCCAAAATTGAGCACAGTGGGTGGGGGAATGTTCTTTGTTATCAGGAAGTTCCAAGGAGCAGGCATCAATCGGCAGAGTGGAGAAAGTGGGGACAGGGTGGGGTGGGGTAGCTGGCACTGCCATGTATCTCAGGCCGGGGTTCCCAGCCATCACCCTGTCTTCCCTCAGTGGGGGGAAGGGATGAGACAAAGGAACTCCAAATGTGTTCTAGCCAAGTAAAAGTGAGGGCTCTGGAGGAACCACTCTGGAATCCGCATGCTTTATCTGAGGCTTTACCCCCAAAAGAATAGGGAAGTTGTTTTCCTTTTAAAGAAGGATATGTAATATTTCCTTTGCCAGGGTGAAATAATTACGCATAAGACCAGACTGATGGACCCAATGCACAAGCTCCTACATTAAATGGGAAGGAATCTCAGGAGCAACGCAGGGGGTTTTAGTATCCTTTTCCCTCATAACCCAGTCTTAGGATGTGGTGCTGGGAACTGTTCCAAGCAGTGGGTTGTGGTGACAGAGAAAAAGGGTGGTTGGGAGAACAGCTGCAGACCTGCTGCTCCTAACTCACTCCCACCCCTTTGGGGCCAAGGTGATTTTATTTATTTGCTCCTTTGGATAACTGCATCTTGGGTCCCACTTTCTCCAGGATGCCAACTGCACTGTGTGCGAATGACATATCTTGTGCATTTAACTTTTTTTTTTTGTAATATAAATATTCTGGCTTTGTATTTTTGTATATTTTAATCTAAGGCCCTCATTCCTGCACTGTGTTCTCAGGTACATGAGCAATCTCAGGGATAAGTCGGCAGCAGCTCCAGGTCTGCACAGCAGGAATACTTTTGTCTTTATCACTATGGAGAGCAAACATTTGGAGTGCATAGCCTGTCACGTGAACTACCTCATTTCTGCCAATTAGAGTTGAATCTTCTGCCATAGTACCCTCTGAAACCTCCTCCATCTTAAAAATGTTTGATAGGAGACTAGGTTTTATTTTTTATTTATTTTTTTTGCGGAACCAGGGATTGAACTCAGGCCCTTGTGTTTGTCAGGCAAGCACTTATTCTACTGAGCCATCTCCCTGGCCCGGAGACTAGGTTTTAAAGGGGTTGCCCCACGACTTGAACTTCTACTGGAAGATTGGAAATTAGTCTAAATAGAAAAGGTGGTGCAGAGAAGTTAGGAGAGGCTGGGCCAGGTAAAAGGCTCAGAAAAGAAGCTGAGGTTAGGTGATGTGATGATTGTTGTCTAATGCTAGGGGTATGGGGCTTGCTTTACCTGTCTGATGCATCCTAGGCTAGATGGATAAGCCTAGCTTGACAATGCACAACAGGGTGTGTGTGTGTGTGTGTGTGTGTGTGTGTGTGTGTGTTTGTATTAAAAAAAAAAACAGTGAGTTGGTAAGGCTGACTTTTAAGACCGATACCCTTGTGCCCATTTGGCTATCTGAAGAAGCAAGGACTAAAATGATGAACCATCCAAGCTCTCCTGGCTTCCAGAGAGACCCCTAAGAGGGCCTCTGTGGTCCAGGAGCCATGTGCTGCCCTGCTGCAGTGACGAATAGTGGCCTGCGAGCTAAGACAGAAAAGGGGGTCTCGCTTACATGCTGTGCGATCCCTGCAGACCTGCCTCGCGTGCCGCGACGGGACAAATGCGACAGAACACGTGCGTAGTGCGCGTCTGACCTGGTTTCTTGGCTCCCCCAAACGCTGCCCCCTCTTAATTACTGTATTTGTCTGGGCTTTGCAGGACTTTTGCTGAGTCTCTGAGTTGGTGATTGCTAGGTGGCCTCGTTTGTGTAAATATGTGTTGGTTTTTTCTCCATGTTCTTTTGGGGTTTTATTGTTTACAAAATTCTTTTTGTATTGAGAGAAAAATAGCCAAAGCATCTTTGACTGAAGGTTCTACACGAGGCAAAAGGATCTGAAAAATAAGTTGGGAGAGGCTCTTTTTGAAGTGGGGCTCTCGAACCATCTTTTGTAGTCCCCTTTCTCTTGTTCCCTATTTGGGACTAAATCTGTCCTAAAACCTTCTTCTCCTCCTAAAGAAAATCAATACACCTACACACATGTCTACTTAATTCTTAAAGTATCTCTGCAACTTTTAGATGATTTAGGCAGAAATCCTACAGGAGCAAGGATCCCCTACTCCTTGTTCCCAATCTCCTGAGTCAAGACTGTTATTGGATGCAAGTCATGTCAAACACCTGCTGTTTGGATGGATCAAACCCACTCGGTTTGTAATCCTAGAGAAGCAAGTGGGGTCAGGAGACCAGGACAGGGAGTATGAATGTATATTCAAGTCACTTGGGAACTTTTATTTATGCAGGTATGAGAAACTTATGTCAAAGTGGCCTCAAGATTGTTTAATAGGAGACAGACGAATGTAACTCCATGTTTACTGCTAGAAACCAAAGCTTTGTGTGAAATCTTGAATTTATGGAGAGGAATGGAGGGTGGAGGGTGGGAAAGTATATACCTGTCTGTTCTTTCCCTGAACCCTTCACGTCATTCCTGAACTGCCAGGACCAAGGCCCCTTGGGCTTTGGTGACCCCTTCACTGGGGTGTCTGTTTGATGGTTGATTTTGCTGTACCCCACTATACTTTCCTTCCTATTTTCTAATCATTTTGTAACGTGTGCTGACTTTTCCTTCCCTTCTCCTTTCCTTGGGAAAATACAATGAATAAAGAGTCTTATTGGTTAAAAAAAAAAAATCCTAACCTCATACTCTTTTTTTTAGAGACGAACCAAAGATGATACTTGGAAAGCAGAAGACCTCAGGAGACACCTCTGGGTAGTGTATCTTAGAGTTCATTTGGGGTCCAGACGGAGGTTTCCTCCTTGGCTCTTCTTGTTTGTAGCATGCTGCAATTGTAGAGGACTGGGACAAGGGCATTCTTGTCATGGTGCCTGCAGGTCAGGGCTCCCTACTGCAGGCAGCATGGCAAGGCTGAAGTGCAGCGACAGTCCCCAAGTGTCTTAGTTACTCTTCTCTCATTGCTGGGACAAATACCTGACACTCAAAATGAAGGAAGGAAAGGTTTGTTTAGCTCATAGTTATTGGAGGGTTCAGTCCATACTCAGCTGGGTCCAACACAGAGCAGCACAGAGCAGAAAGCAACCTTGATGGCAGTGGCAAAGAGCAAGAGCACAAGGGAGGGCTAGCTTCTCTTCCCAACTCACATTATAATGCAAATGACCTGGGCAGGTGCAGCAACCACACCCACAGTAATCAGTCACAAACTCCAGAAGCCACCCCAAGACTGCATGAGGCTTTGGGGGGACACTAGACACAAACTATAACACCAAGTGTGTTTGTAGAAGGGGCCCTGTTTTGATAACACCTGCTGGCTCTTGCTTCAGTAGCATTAGAACAGCTTCGTATTTCCTATTCTCTCTAATCCTGTCCTCTTTGGGGTTAGAGTGGCCTATAAAAATGAATACCTCTGGCATGGAATTCCATTTAGCAGTCACAGAAATGCTAAGCACGATTCTGATTATTTTAGGGTTCTAAGAATATTCATTTAGGTCCCATTGCATGTTGCTGGATTTGAAAGCAGTTGAATCAAACATTTTCAAAGTGATTCTCACATTCAGATGTTCATGGTATGTGGAGGGCCCACATGTGGCTGGGCAGGACGTGCTTGCCCAACTTGTGCCCGGCCTTGGGTCCCATCGCCAGCACTGAAAGGAAAAAAGGTCACCCATAGAAATGTGCCTTCCTGTCACAGAGACCCCTTCTCCTGTCTTCTTAGGCTGCACAGTCAGGTGGTGCCAAGGAAGAGAAGCAGCACAGAGAAAGGCAGCTACACAAGGAGTCCGAAGCGGATGTCCCTGACCACAAAGAGCACAGGGATCCAGGGCGAGATGTACAGAGGCCCAGGGACAGGGCCACTGACAGAGATGCCCGCATCTCCAAGGAGAATCCCCGCGCGGAGAGGGACAGTGAAAGACATGGGGAGAGGAAGAGGGATCCAAGAGACCGGGAGAGAGAGAGGCTGAGAGAGAAGCGTCGCGAACAAGGTGCAGAGAAGTCTCATAGCAAAGCCAAGGAAAGAGAAAAGGAAAAGGACAGAAGGGTGAAGAGAGAGGAGCTCCGGCAGGCCACTGCCCACCATGACCTTCTGGACAGGGCGGAGAAGGTGCGCTCAGGTGTGTCCTCTGTCCCCACAGCTCGGGAGCGCTGTGCTCTCCAGTTGCCCTCCAGCTTCCTCTCACAGCACTTTGTGGGCTGTGTTTCCTTTAGCTATTCTTACAAGTTCTCTTCAGATACGTTCTGTTCCCCAGTTTGTTTTCTCTCATAGTTTTTAGAAATGCTTCAGTTTTCCGTTCTCTGTGTTTCTCTTACTTTGGTATTTTTGTTTATTTTCTGTTTTGATATTTTAAATATTTATTTAGTGAAGGAACAAATTGCTCATTATTTTCTGGCTGTTTACAATTGAAACGTACAAGGCGTGGTCAGGATATACTGGGACTATTTACAGTAAAAATGTTGCTACAGTAAAAGTCACATTACTATGAATCTGCCTCAAAATATGGGCCCCGAACAGCTTTGAACACACTTTTCTCATCATTCTTGCCACTTTTCTTTTCTTTTCTCTTTCCGTTTTTTGGTGGGTGTGTGTATTTGATACAGGGTCTCACGATACAGCTCGGACTTATAGTGGTCCTCTTGTTTTCAGCCTCCCAAGTGCTGGGATTGCAGGTGTGCGCTACCGTACCCAGTCTCTGTGGCTGGCTCAGCTTGTCTGGGGTGGGGCCGGCAGGGCACGCGGTACCAGGGACCAAACCCCAGTCCCTCAGCTTGCCCAAGCAGGCGCTCAGGCAGCTGCGCTGTCTTGCCGGCCCTCTTGCCACCTTCTGTTGCAGCTCTGGAAGTCCTCTTTCCTGAGTATCTTTAGGAGGTGTGCTAAGACACGTGGTGAATGTTGCTGCCGAGTGCCGTGGGGCAGAAAGCAGGCTTGCAAGGACATGCCGCTGTGTCTTCACTCATCTCATCCACCAGATCTGGCACTGTGGGGCGTCTGGCTCTTCCCCACAGTCAAAGTGACAGCAAAAGGGAAATAATTGGAATGAATCCGTCATTGACAGATGTAGCCGCATTGGAACAACCAGGATAGCACAACTAAAGGCCCCCAGCAAGGGGCCTCTAGAGCTGCCTCTGAGAGTGGCAGGAAGGACGGAGTAAGGCTTGGGGTGCAGTTCATTGGTAGAGCACCTGCCTAGTTGTGTGAGGCCCTGGGTTCAGTCACTAGTACCGATAAAAAAAAAGAGAATGATGAGACAAGTGTGTTCAGAGAAAGGGGGATTTTCCTTTTTTCCCCTGGAGACAGGGTCTTGCTGTGTAGTTAAGGCTGGCTTTGAACTCACTAGGTAGCCCAGACTGACCTTAGGCTTGTTTTAGTCCTCCTGCCTCAGCCTCGCAGGTGCTGGGATTGCAAATATGCACCACCATTCCCTGCCAGGGTCATGGTTTTAAACTCCATTCACCTGTTCCTAGGTTCCAGGTTTTGGTCCCCAGCTGGGCTCCTCCCTGCACCCCAGCTCTGTGTCTGCTTGTGCTTTGAGGTCTGATAAAGATACCAGACCTCATAGGGTCCAAGCTGACCTTCCGAGGATGCTCACCTAACAAGTGAGGGCAGCAGCAACCCTCCATTCCTGAGGCCAGAGCCGAGCACCAACCAGTCCTCATCTTCTCCTGCCCCCTGGAGTGTCCTGGGGTTTTGTGTTCAGGATGTGTCTGGAGCCCAGGCTGCCTTCTGTCCCATCTCCTTGGAGCGTGGTCAGTGCTCAGCAAGTATTTATTTATTTATTTATTTATTTTGGCAGAACTGGGGATTGAACTCAGGCCCTTGCACTTGCCAAGGAAGCGCTTATTCTATTGAGCCGTCTCCCCAGCCCCTCAGCGAGTATTTTTGAAGGAGTGAACTTTGTCTTCATGATCCCTGAAGTTTGCCTTTGCTCCCATCTTTTAAAGTGTCAATTTTCTTTTCTTTTTTAAAAAATAATATGCTTTAAACATTTTTGATTATAATATGAACAGGGTTTGGTGTGCTATTTCAGCACATGTGTATAGCATGCTGACGTGTTGTTTTCCTTCATTGTGAGCCTGATGAGTTTTTGTCTGCAGATTAAGAAATGAACCCTCCCTCCAGTTCCTTGTTGGATGCTGCCTGGGCACCTCAGTAACAGGGTGACCCTTCTGGGGATCCATCCCTGCACACCATGGCTTATGCCTCAGCCTCACACTGCGTGGGCAGTGCCTGGCTTGCTGCCTCTGTGTCCCTTGGTAGGGGTGCCTGGAGGCTGGGGAACTGTGTGGTTTGCCCCACACACCATGTCCAGGATTTCTTTGGAGTTCCCTGTTGGCTTGGGTGTTTGCCTGAGCAGCTTTGCCCTGGTTCTCAGAAATCCTGAAGGTATCATGTGAGGCTGGTGCCCCCTAGAATTCCAGGGATCACCAAACATTTGCCAGGTGCCTCAGCAAACTGGGAGTGGGAAGACTTGTTCCTTAAATTGGCATTTTGACCTCACACTGAGTTTGGATTCTAGAACTCATCACTCTTGAGTTTGGAGAATGAAGAATAGTTTCAAGTGCATGTTAATAATATAGCATGATCTGCAAGATGGTGGAAGGGCTTTTAATGTGAAATTTGGAAATTTTGAGAGTATGTTGTGTCTTTGTAGTAAGTAAAGTAAGAATTGAAGAGAAAGACAGCAGAGATGAAGACCCTGAAGTAGGAGATGAAGACAGAGAAAGAAGATACCGAGAGAGAAAGGTACCCAGGCCAGGCTGGAGGGGGGCCCTCCCTTCTCAAGGAGTTGGGGAAGGGTATGCCAGGAGAGCTTGGTTGGGGCTCTGGGGTGGGTGTGCTTCTCTGGTTCCAGCGGCAGCCCAGGTAGTGGTAGAAAATTTACAGATATAGATAAATAGTAAGAAAACAAAAGTGCCTGTTCCCACCCAGAGACAACTATTGATCATGTTTGGTTATGTAGATGTATATAAATGTGTGAATGGGGTGTGTGTGTGTGTGTGTGTGTGTGTGTGTGGGTGGTTTTTGTTTGTTTTGAGACAAAAATCTCATGATTAGTTCAGGCTGTATTTAAACACTATGTAGCTCAGGCTGGTCTTGAATTCAGAGCAGTTCTCCTGCTTAAGCCTTCCAAATGCTGGGATTATAGGCATGTGTATATGTTTTTTTTTTTTTCTTAAATTGGATTTTCATTGTCTTATAGGTTGTTTTAATATATCTTCAACATTTTTCTCAGTTGTCATATTTCTTCATAGTGTTTAATCAATGTATAATTTAGTATAGTGATGTAGACATTTTAGTTCTCTTGACGTGTCTGATGCTTTTGGGTGCATAAGTTGCTTCTAAATTTTTTTCATGGTCCTGAAGAGACACCTTTCCCACCCAGAACCACAGAAGTGCTGTGTGTCTTTTTCTGCATCTTCAGGGTTTGTGGCAAAAACTTTTTACCTGGGGCACACAGAAGAGTTTGGTCAGCAGCCCCGTTCACTGTAGGAAGGCTCTGCTGGTGGAGATGAGCACTTGGATTGCAGATGGAAAGAATGGAGGAAGGAGACAGAGGCCCCCAGAGGGGTGCAGGGACCCCTGCACGCAAGGATGCAGTGGTGTGGGAAAGCTTAGGACAGGTGGACAGTGCTCCTAGACAGGGTCTGGACCCAAATCCCACACCATCATAACCCATGGTTTAGCTGATGGATGCCACCCATCTCTGAGTATCCACGGTGCCTCCTGAAGGTACTGGGGGGCTGAATGATGGCACCCCTTTCAAAACTGCTCATTTGTGTGGAACCAATAGAGAGTGGTGCACTGCATCATTGCAGGACCAGGGCCAGCCTCAGGCTTGATGCTCGCCAAAGGGACCACTGTCCAAGGGATTGACTGCAGGCCTCACGCAGTGAGTCCAGACTGGCGAGCCCAGATGGGTGTAGAGTGAGAGTGCTATGGAGTGACAAAGGGGTCTAGATTGCTTTGCTGGGTGTGTGTGGCACCTCCTGTTCCTGTAATGAAATACTTCAGATAATTGACTAATAAAGAGAAAAGAGCCAAAGTGCGGTATAATTCCAGCTATTTTGGAGGAAGGACCAGGAGGATCACAAGTTTGATTCTGCCTGCATACTTTATTATTACTATTATTTTATTTACTTTTTTTTTTTTTTTTTTTTGGTGGAACTGGGGATTGAACTCAGGCCCTTGCGCTTGCCAGGCAAGTGCTTATTCCACTGAGCCATCTTCCAGGCCCCTGTTTTTTGTATTTTAGAGAAGGGTCTACAGGGTGTTCAGGGTCTCACTACTAGATCGGACTTATAGTGATCTGCCTGTTTACAGCCTCCCAAGAGCTGGGATTACAGGCATGTGTATCACCACACTCAGTCTCAATTGCCACCTCAGTGCGCCCTGGGGGCGGCTGGCCCCTGTGCCTGCTTGCAGGTGCTTTCATCCACTGAGCCATTTGGCCGGCCCTCTGGCCTGCATACTTTAGGGAATACTGCCTCAAAAAGTAGCAACACCTGGGGATGTAGCACAGTGTGGGGCACCCGAAGGTTCCATGTACACATTTCCTTTGGCTCTCAGTTTTGGACTGTGTACAGTGTGACCATCACCCTGACATCATGGCCCATGGAGAAGCCCTGGGTCACGGAGGAGCAGCTGACTCATGGGGAGAGGGCTGGGTCTCATCCCCTTCCACACTTGCCCCAGTGGTGTGAAGACCTTGCTGGCCCTGTTCCCAAAGACCACAGCTCCTCCCAAAGTGCCACCCTGCAGGCCAACTCTGCACGCCAGGGAACCAGCAGCATGGAACCATTACTACTGTGCACGCAGCCAGGGCTGCCCGGTGCGCTGGGAGGAAGGCGCGGCAGGCAGCTGTCCTGAAATCCTGCCTGCTTCCCTGAAGAGCTCCTGTGGGCTCTTACACATGTCTCCCTGCTGTCCACAGCTGCAGTACGGCGACAGCAAAGACAACCCTCTCAAGTACTGGCTTTATAAAGAAGAAGGGGAGAGACGACACAGGAAGAAATACCGAGAAAAAAGCAGCACCAGGGAGAAGAGAGAAAAGTACTCCAAAGAGAAGAGTAGCTTGTTCTCTGGCAGAGAAGGGGAAGAAAGACGCAAGGAGAAGCGACCTAAAGAAGGCTGTCGTGGGGCTGAGGAGGGGCCCCGGAGCCACGTGCAGAGGAAAGACGGGCTCTCACGGGAGGAACACAGGAAGAGGGAGCCCGAGGTGTGCGCAGCGCTGGGCTGACGCCCCCCAGGGGCTCACTGCAGGGCCCGCGGAGGCGGAGCCGGGACGGGACGGGGCTGGGAAGGCGGTGGAGTGCGCTGTGCGTGCAGTAGAGGGAGGCAGCGGTCCTTCAGCGAAAGGGACTCTGCTCGCCTGGGTTTGTTTGCTCCTTGTTTCTTCTTCTTCTTCTTCTTCT